TGCCCGGGACCGGGCCGTCTTCAGGGGGCGACCTGAGCCCGATGGAGCCTTTCCCGCGGTCTGGGCCTGTGAAGTGCCCCGAGGTGCCGTTCGCTTTCTTAGCAGCTGCGTCCCGCTGGTGGCTCCATGTACTGCTGCTAAGCGGTTACTTGCGCCTTTTATTTTTGCTGCTCGGGTGCAGGACTTTGTCTTTCTCCCTGTAAAATTCCGTCTTATTCCCTTCTGCCCACTGCTCTGGATCTTCTTGGATTTTCCTTCGTTCGTCTACCGGTCAGCCCCCTCCCAGCCTTGTCCCACCGGTGCACTTGATAAGCGTGCCCGCATCTCCCCCACATCCTGGATATTGCCCTAGAGGCTCCTGGCGTGGGGCCATCAGCGAACCCCCTTTCTGTGCTGTCATTCAGCCAACGGCAAGGTCACCCTCTCCCCCATTTCCTGCCGTTCTCTTAAAGGGAATCTGTCCAAGGCTGTCAGCTCCGAGTACACCATGGCACGCCTGCCTGATCTCCTGAGCTGGTGACTCTTTCGGCGAAGGAGAGGGGCTGCTCAGCCACAATTTCTTTGCTAGAACCCTACACCGGCTCCCTTCCTTATGAACCCTTGGATGGGATGCTACAACTTGTCGATCGTCTATTGGAGACCTTCCCAGAATAGAGGTGAACGTGGTTACTCTGTAGTTCCCCGGGTCCTCCCCTGTCTCTCTGCTGAGACCTCCGTCCTCCAAGGTGGTCCAGAGTGATTCTGTGCTCCCCTCAGCTGCTTCCTTTCTGACCCGTAGTTTTTCTGGATGGAGGATGGTTAGAGGCCGGGGCTGCTTTGGAGAAAAAAGCCAACTGAATGTGCCAGCCTGCAGACTTTCTCACTAGGCAGCACCCTACAAAAAGGCTTTGAAAGATGAAAATCTGAAATGATTCCCTCTACCCTCCACAGCGCCCCAATTTCTGGGTCTCTGCCAAAGGCTTCTTGTCTTTTGTAGCAATGATTTCGTGTTGCACTTGCAAGAAAGGGCTGCTTGGCAGGGAGGCCGGTGCCTCTTGTGTGCCTCCTGCGGGGCCAGGCTCGGGTGCTCCTCTCTGCCTCCCCCTCCCCATGCTAAGTAATCCCCAGAGGGCTTGGGGCCCCAGTCGTACAGGCAGAGTTCGGGCTGTGCCGGTTTGCTCCTGTGATGGGCTCTCTTGGGGAGCTGGAAGGACAGAGTCACGTCTGTGGTGTTTATTACAATATTCCTTTTAAACCCCCGAGACTGAGGTTGCAAAAGTCTTTGATTTTTTTCACTCTGTCTGATTGGTATCAATACATCAACCCCTTTTGCCAGTTAGGAAGCTGTAACTCACCCTTGTTTGCTGGCTCTGGGGTGGGAAAATGCTAGGCGTCTGCCATTGTTGCAGCGGCTCTCTGCAACTTTTTGTTGGAAGAAAAAGTTATCTTACCAGGTCCGTTTCTGAGCCGGGAGTAAAGACACTGACGAATTGCATGAAGTTAGGAAATTTATTTTTTATCCAAGAGCAGAAGCAATGACAGCAAGCAGTTAGGTGGGCGGCCGCACCAGGCCCCCTCCCTACAGTACATTATATACCTTCTGTTACATTCAAACCCAGGTTAAGATGTCATGACCTTTCTGATCCAATCAAAACCAGTTACCTTGATCCATACTCCTCCCCTTATCCAGGACCCCTTTCTCTGATGCTGAATAAGGTTCTTCCTTTCTATATGTAAACTAATTTCTTATCACCTTGAGTGTTAACAGCCATATGTAAACTATCCTTTATCACTCTGATTGTCCACCAGGCGCTGTCCTGATTTACATCCCTAAGAAACAAGGTCAGAACCGCTTATCTTTCTTTGTGAGGGGTCATCTGAACAAGAAGACACTATCAAGTCAAGACAGTATATCTGCTTACATGAGTTGCCGCCTTTTCAGTCAGGAAGAGACAAACTATGAGAGCAATTAACACATCCTTGAGATTTTGAAAAGTGTTAAAGGTCACATCCTCAAGAATGCAACCTTTTGATAATC